GTTCCAAGTGGGAGGCCCCCATGGAGCATCTCTCATTCCTACCTCCAGCCCCAGGACCCCTACTTCCACACCAGGACAAGAGGATGCCATGCACCTTTGCTACTGTGACTTCCGCGAGGGTGACAAGGTCTGAAGGTCCTCGAAGGACACAGCAGCCACTCCGTCATTTGCCTGTTCTTAACCATGTCACCAGAGTCTAGGCCCTAAAATGCCTTACCCCTTAGTCAGACCCCACTCCCAGCCCCCAAACTGGCACTGTCTCCCCCGACTGCCTCAGTGGGTCGTCTACTCCCTGGGGTGTTTTTAGAACTAGTTTGACTAAGTGTGATTGTCCCACAGGTTCTTCTGAAGATCGTTCTAGACTGTAGAATGGGAGGAGGGGGGAGGACGGAGAAGGGTCGCCCCTGAGCAAAACCGGTAATGCGGTGCCTGTGGCCAGTGGCAGCCTGGTGGTAGCCCATGGAGTCAGACTTAGTGACCTTTCCTTCACGCGATGCGTGTTCCACGTGGACATGTTTTAGGAGCGTGATTTGGAAAAGATTGCAGTCCGGATCAAGCACGTGTGTGGAAGGCCCATGTGTTGGCACCGACTTCCTGTGGCCTAGATCCTGCAAGGGTCTCCGGGGAGGACTTGTCCCACTCCCCAGGTTCTAGAGCCTTACCTCACTGGCCCCAGACACGGTCAGGGTCGGGCCTTTCTCAGGCCACCTCAGGCGTCTGACTCCCGGACCCCTACGCGCAAGGCTGGCAGCTGGTGGCTTTGCTGGCAGTGTGGCCCCAGGTAGCTTCACAGGGAGAGCTGCAAGCAGTGGTGACTCTTGATGTCACGTAGGAATGATTGCGTGAGGTAAAAGTTGTTTCTAGATTGGTTAGTAATGTTTCCCCGGTTTCTTTGTAATAAACATTCTCCTTTGACTGTCAGAATGGGTGTCTAAATGAATCTCATGCTGTTAGGTTTTTCATTTAAGGCAGCTGGTCAGACTCCTTTTTGGTTCCAGGCCCACTGACGCTGACGTTGAGGTCCCTGTAGGACATTGGGGAAGGTGTGGCCAGAGGTGGCTGCATATCCTGGTCTGGAGCTCAGGAGAGAAACCGGGCTGGGCACAGATGTGCGGGGCAAGCCACGGAGGTGGATGTGGTCTTGCAGGGAGGACTGTGGACGGAGAAGTATTAATATAGAAGAAGACCATGGACAGATTTAGGTGGATATGGGGTGGGGGGGAAGTACCAGAAAAGAAAAAAGCAGCCAGAAAAGAAGACTGAGGCTAGGGGTTGTGAGAAGACAGCCGGAGAACAGAGAGCAGAGAGCATGGTGCTGAAGGGCTGGTACAGGCAGCGGGAACAGGTGGGGCTGCTGCCCTGCTGGGAAGCTGTCACCAGTAAGGGACAGAGCAGGGTCAGTGGAGCAGGGGGCTGGGAAGGAGGTGGGGAGGGAAGCGGTACTGGCAGCCTGGAAAAGATGTCTTTCAGCAGGACTCTCCTTATTGTTGTTCGCGGAGAGGAAGGAGGTGAGCGTGCAGGGAAGAGAGGGCTGGAGGGCAAGGCTGAGCAGGGGAGGGGACGGGGTCCAGTGCCCAGGAGGAGAGCGGGTCCCCGAGAGGATAGGTTTGCTCTTCCATTGAAGCCAAGGAAGGGAGAGGACGCAAGTGAATTTGCACATTTGGTGGCAGAAAGGTTTCTTCTCACAGCTCCTGTTTTCTCCCTGATGAAGCCGGGGAGCATCCACATGACAGAAGAGAGGCCCCGGAGGAAGCTGGCGAAGGACTGGACAGGCTCATACTCTCCTTTCACATCCAGTTGACCTCAGCAGGGAACTCAGAGCCAAGGACAGACAGAGTGCGATCAGGGCCCCAGTGCCCTTGGGAGGGGGCTGTGTGGTGGCCCAGGGACAGCTGGGTGGCTCACCCAGGATGCAAGGCCACCAGCCTCAGCCCAACCCCTTGTCTCCTTCTAGAACCAGCCCTGTCTCCTCTGGTCAATTTTAACTTAATTACACTCAGATCAGTTCCATAGCATAGACCTTTTTTAGGCATTAGTGACTGGAAGAGTTTTGTTCTATTACTTCACATTTTCCAAACCCACTTCACACAGATGGAATCTCTTGTAATCCTATAAGGCCAAACACAGAAGAAACAGTGCCAAGGAGGTTGGGCCCAGGACTTGTTTTAGTGCAGATAGAACGGTCTTATTTCTTTTGACGTCCTGATAAATCTTTCTGCCCTGAATTTGGGAGATTTCAACCCCGAGGAACACTCATACTCCATTCATTCAACAGATGAGGCTTGGCATCCGCTGTGAGCCAGACCTGTGCCCTGCATGTAACCTCCTTTGCCAGGCGTTACTTCTTTCAGTCTCTGCCACAATTCTGTGGAGTTAATTTCGGTGTCCCTGTTTCATCAGCGATGAAAACAGTGCCGACAGAGGTTAACTTGCCTGAGGTCGCCTCGGAAGTAAGTGGCCGGGCGGGATTCAGGGCAAGGTCTTTTGGTTCTTAAGTCCTTCGCTCCTTCCATTTCATCAAGGAACCCCTCAAACACAATGTTTCACTCTGTTGAGGTTTTCATTTTAAATGTTATGCGTCTCTCCACGTGAAAGGTTCTTTAGGGAATTGTCAAAACCCTGAGAAGTATAGTTTTTGAACCAGGGTCTTAGAAATGTTCCAATCAAATAAATTTAGGGCAGATGTATTAAGTACTTGCTTTGGTTCCTGCCTGCATGACATCAGCAAAGCGAGAGAGAAATCGTGATAGATTTCATTAATAATTTGAGATTGCAACAGGAGCACGGTGTGGGAGGAAGTGGAGGGTGTTTGGAGCTTGCGCTGAGTCTGACAGCAATGTGACCCTGGGAAGGGGAAGGCAGATAACGTTCGCCAGCTACTTGTTATGTGCTCCGTGCCCTGCATGTCTGGATCTCACTTAGTCGTTATTTAATGAGCTTCACAGATAAATACAATATGATACCCATTTTAATATGTGAAAACTGAGCTTCTGAGAAGGTTGTCTTCTGAGATCATGCAGCTGGTGTGTGGAGGCCAGGGTATGACTGGGTCTGTCTAATTCTAAATAGGATTACAGACTCTTAATTTAATGTGTGCACATAAACACATACTTGTGCGTGCATACATACACATGTATATGTGTAAAGCTTTTGCTGTTTATTAAAGAATTCAGGAAAAAACAAAGGGGTGACTATTAACGAGAAATTGGGCAACAACCATGCCCCAGTCCTTGAAACACCTCTTTTATATCTGATTATAATCCATTTGCTTTCCAGGACTGGTTCTGGGATCCACAGAGGAGGGAGGTTCTTGTTCTCACAATTGAACTTTGAAAGGGCAATGATATACATTTGCAAAATAATTAAAGTATCTGTTCTAAAGGGGAGGAGAAGTCAATGTAACTGAGGCAGGTTGAATACATATTTTTGGAACAAGGAGAATCATGGTAAACAGAGGTGAATGCTCCATCTCAAAGAGGTTCATGTCTGCTCGTGAAAAGAAATGAGTCAAGGTATTCATTCAAGAGGATGGATCCTGAGCCCCTTCCTCTTTGCTAAATGGATGTGGTGTGAATTACATGAGGTAACAGGTGAAGTGCCTTGGCCAGCCCCTGACGTGCGGGGGACTCTTGATAAATGGGTTCGTTAACGTTCGTTAATGTCCTTATCATTACTATTCTTTGGGGTCTGCATTGTGAGGGTGTAAAGGACTGGCAAGGTCAAAGATGGTTGTGTTTTCCCATGTGGGTGACCAGGAGGAGAATGGCGCATTTACAGAGGTGAGACAGCCGGGAGAGGAGCAGAGTGCATAGCCCCGGCTTGGTGCCTGAGTGCTTTCAAGTCCAGGCCATTGATCTTATATCCCGAGCTGTCCATTGCCTCCAGCCAGGATTCACACAGCACCTGTGGCATAGAGTTGGGTCCCGAGACGCATTTGAAGGGCACAGCACTTCAGACAGAGCTGCGCGGCCAACAGGTTTTGTCTCTGGCCATTCCCACTGCCCTCCCTGACCTCCTAGTAGACCCCTATTCCCGCTGCCAGGCAGCTGGCTCTCCCTAAAGATCTTATTAAAGTTCCAGATGTGTGGCAAAAAAAAATGTTGTTAATAATAGCAAGGCCTGATACGAATTTAAAGAAGGTCTTGTAACTTAGGGATAGAGAACTTTCGTCTGCCTCCTTTATTCTGTTCTTCGCCAGCGCTCCCAAGCCACAAGCTGAGAACGCTGGCCCTTGGATAATGGGTTTTCTCTGGTCTTCTTATGCACCCAAGTCATCCTGTTACAGTGTTCCTGTTAACTCCCTTGGGTAGGAACCAGCCTCACAGATGGGTAAAATTTAGATAATTTGATTATTCAAATTATAACATTAAACCTGTTGGAAAAGAGACGAGGCCCTTGAAGAAGATGTTAAAGGCAACCTCTCCTTCTATCCCCCTGTTGGTTGTACGAGATAGGGGAGGGGCTGACTTCAGGAAGGGGTGTGAGGTGGTCCCAGAATCTTCTCTGATTACAGTGGGCGGGGGCAAGGAGGTTCCCTCATGCCAGGAGTGGAGGGTATCACGTGGCCAATGAACTCTGAAATCGTTTATCCATATTTCACTTTAAAATTTTTAAGTTCACCTGGGAGGATGGGTCTTTCTAGCTAACACATTATGCCCTCTCGCAGACAGTTTACCTTCAGAAGGGACTTCTGGTCCCAGGGGAACTGGCAGAGGAGGCAGTTTGTGGTTAAGAATATTTTGGCACAGAAGTCCTGGGAAATGTGGCCAGGGTTATGGGGCAAAGTGTCCTACTTTCCATCCTCACTCCTGGGGGTCCCGGGGTGCACCTCCATCTACAGACCCAGCCCTCCTCTCCAGAGGACGGGGAGAAGACTGACCCACCCTGGTGAAGATATGGATGGCCAGGGCTTTGGCCCTTCCCCACCTTTGTGTCCATATTCCAGTTAGATGTCCCTTGTGTGTTAGAATTGCTGTTGAAATTGACTCTGTGCTTCCTAGGAACTAGCCAGCTGTGGATGGAGTAAGAAGGAGAAACATAGTCTCGCCCCCAACGTTGTGGCCTTTACCCGGAGGTTTAACCAGGTAAGCAGTACCCCTTGCCTGTGCGTGGCCGGATAGCGATCTGTTGTCCCCTTGGGCTGGGAGCCCTGCCAGGGTTCAATCCCAGGCACCTGGCCCCCGGTCCAAACCCCTCTTCCCGAACCATCCCGCCCATCAATCCTTTTGCCTGCACGGTCCTTCTTCACAGCAGGTGGAACCAAATACATCTTTTCCTGGGTTTAAATTGCTTCACTGGCTGCCAGTTCCAGCTAAGCTAAGGCTCAAGCACCTTAATTTCCCTGCAGGGTCCTGCACGGTGGGTCTGGTTTCTGTCCACCCCTCCAGTCTCCTCTCTTGTCCCTTTCCCTGCTCCGCAGGCTTCAGCCATCCTGGCCTCCTTCTCTTCCCTGATGCACCCTCTCTGCCCCATCAGGCCCCAGATGTGCTGTCCTCTCAGTTCAGAATTCTTCCTCTCTGTTTAGCCCCCAGTCTGATCTTAGCCTGAGTGTCACTTCTTTGGGGAGCTCTCTGTGAACCCCTCGCCCGTGCGAGGTCTTGCTGTCAGACATTCTCTCACTGCCCCCTGTGCTTCTTTTTCCATCTGGTCCTCTGCTCATCTGTCCTCGCTTTGTGCAGCTCCTTCGCCTCCGTCTTCCTTGCCAGTCTGTGGGCTCCGTGAAGGCAGGAGCCATATCCATCTTGTTCACCAGTGCACCTCCCGCCACCTGGCCTAATGTCAGGCATATGTTAGACCCTCAGTACATACATGTGGAGTGGATGAATGAGGTGCTCGGAACTTTGAGTGCCCGATGCCCTGGTCACCGGCCCCATACATACTACTGCAAACTGACTTGGTCCAACCAGCACCTTTGCGCCAGTATGAAGATCTGCACCCCCACTTAAGGGAACGATGATGAAGGCTTGGACCAGCTGAGGGCAGTGGGCTTCTGGCTTCTCAGCCAGATCTACCAGAATGAGATCTCTGGTAGAAAGCACCCTCTAAGACCTCCCTTGGATGGACCAAACCCCCAAATGGTGCTGTTGACAGTTTTTCTTCCTTCTTGTTTTTCTGGTTTCAAATGAGGACAGTGGTTTAGAAATTGCATAGTGTGCGTGACTGGACCTCGGGGTGATGGGCCTGGGTTTCCTCTGGGCCTTCCCACTCAGAAATGCTGGGCCCTGTGCATCACTGCTGCCCAGCCCTCCCCAGGCTTCCCCAGCCTCGGCTACCACCGGAGGACGGGGAGAGCCTCCGAGAGGCACCAGCTTTTCGTCTGGAGATCAAGACTGAAGTTTGCATTATTGTTGTTATACTAGGAACTAAGAAGGACCTAGGCATCTGCAGTGGGGCTGTATGCACTGTGTTTTGAACAGAGAAGTTCTGAAGGCTTTTGTTTTTTTGCTCTTTCTTTTCAAAATCTTTTCCTTTTCAACTGAGCTTAGGCTTTAAAAAATAAAACAGATGTGCACACACTGTCAGAGGATTCATAGTTTCCTTCACAAAACTATTTGACTGGAAGCCAGCTCAGTCCCACCTCTGGCCAGCCACAGTGCTCCCGGAGGAGGGCCGCTGGGGGCTCTGATGTAATCTGCTTTGCACGCGGAGGCCAGGTCAGCCTGGCAGAGGGTGGTGCGGCTCGTTCTGCGAACAGTTGCATCGTGTCCAGATCAGACCAAGCGGGTGAAGCGAGCCAGAAGCAAAGTCGCATTTTCCCAAACAGGACGCTCTGAGAAATGGTCTTGCTGCCAGCCTGTCAGCTACTCAGAGCGAGCAGCTGCTGGACACAGCCATTTGGCTTCAAAACTGGCCAACAGCCAGGCCCGGTCAGCCACTGGGGCTGCTTTCTCTGAGATGAACCGATTGGCATCCCTTCCTGGCAGACTTTTATATGTGAGAACAAGGCTCCCCATCAGACTCCAGATAAAGGAAAGCAGGTCAGTTGCCTTTGTGAGCCTCAGTTTCCTTGTCTGTAAATGAGAATAACAGTATGACTCACCTTGCACAGTTGCTGTGGAGATTAAGTGAAATGGCACACGAAGAGCTCTTAGCACGGTGTCTGGCATGTAGTAAGCGTCCAAATGTTTTCGGGGAAAGTAAGAGAGAACAGGAAGATCAGCTGATTGGAAGGAGGCTGCCCGCAGATATGGGGCTTCTTGTGGCCAAACCAGAAACCCAGTGGCCAGACCCTGTGGGCTTGCCTACTTTCTCTGTGGGACCTGAGTCCCTTGGAATTTGTTCCTAGAGCTCATGGAGGGATGGCAGCACCCAGCTGAGTTCACTGAGCTGTCTGCTCTGGGCCAGGCTCCTATCTCAGCCCCAAGGAGTTCACCACAGACCACAGAAGTGCTCCACCTTTTTTGAATCATGTGTTCTTTTGAGAATTTGAAAAATATATATGCATATGTGAACCCGTTTCCAGATAAATGCAGAGATGTATAAATTTGCATTTAATTTTAGTGAGTTCAGTGCTTGCCCCCTCAAAATGTGTGCATGAACACTTTAGGGGTCTGTGAGCAACAGCCTAAGAAGCTGTGGTCACAGAGAATCAAACCCCTACAACCTCCTAGCCCTACAACCTACTAGCTTTCCCATCTTGGATTGTCTTTTGACCTTTCACCTTCCTTATTTATAAAGTGGGAAGAATCATTTCAAGTGGTTTTGAAGATTAAATGAGAATTGTGGATGTAAAGGGTTTGGCCCAGTACTTGACACATAGTAAACAATTAGCATTAGCTGTAAAAAGGGTGTAGAGTAGTGGGAGCTCTGAACTGAAGGACAGTGAGGCCTGGGACTGGTTGCTGGCAGCAGAGCTGGAATTGTGTCCTGAAGATGCTGAAGAATTAGGGAAAGATGAGGAGGGAATTGGGAGAACTTGGCTCTGGTCTAGATTCTACTGCTAACCTGTTTCAGGCCTCGGGCAAGTCACTTCCTCTCTCTGGGTCTCAGGATCCTTATTGGGCAGGGCCAAAGGTTCCTGGTTCCAGGAAGCTGGGTCCCTTCTCTGGCAGCTTCCTCCTCTGTGGCTGCAAGATGGCTGCCAACAGATTCTGGCTCACATCCTGTTGTGAGGGCAACCCCCAGCAGAAAAATCTTGCCTCCTTTTCAGTAGCTCTGTCATCTGATGTTTAGCTGCTTTGGCTTGTGTCCCATCCTGTTCATCCTGATCAGTCACTCTGACCAGGAAGACATGAGGCTCTGGTTGGCCAGGTCTTAGAAATAAGCCTGCCCATGGAGCTAGGGGCAGGAGGCCTAGGCCACATGAGCTGAGAATGGAGAAGTGATAGTTCCTCAAGAAACTAAGATGTCAGCCAATTAGGAATAGAGGGGAACTTCCTCAACTTGATAAAGGACACTTACAAAAACCCTGCAGCCAACATCATACTTAATGGTAAAACATTGGATGATTTCCCCCTAAGATCGGCTAAGATGTGCTCTTTCAATACTTCCATTCAGTCGTATTGGAAGTCCTGAATAGTGCAATAAGAAAAAAAAAGATATGACGATATACAGATTGAAAAGGAAGAAATGAAACTGACTTTACTCACATATGACATGATTGTGTATATAGAAATTCTCAAAGAAATCTGTAAAAAAATTTACTGTAACTAGTAAGTGAATATAGCAAGGCTGCAGAACACAAGATCAATATACAAAAGCTGTCCTATATATAAGCAGTAAAGAATTAGAATTTGAAATAGAAAACCCCCACGCCACTTACAATACACACACACACACACACACACACACACACACACACACACACACAATGCTTAGGTATAAATCTAACAAAGTACATAAACGTTCTGTATGTGGAAAGCTGCAAAACGCTGATGAAAGAAATCACAGTATATTGAAACAGATAAATATTCCATCTTCATGGTCTGGAAGACTCCCAACTTGATCTATAGAGTGAAGCAAATCCCAATCAAAATCCTATCAAGCTATTTTGTAGGTCGAAAAAACTGATTCTAAAATATATATGGGAAGATTAAAGACGGAATAACCAGTGCAATGCTGAAAAAGAGCAAAGTTGGAGGCCTCGCTCTACCTGATTTCAGGACTAACTGTAAAGCTACAGTAATCAAGACAGCATGGTCCTGACAAAAGAAAAGACACCTAGTAATGGAACAGAACAGACATATAGTCGTCTGATCTTTGACAGATGCATGAGCCCTCAATGGAGGAAGGGTAATCTCTTCAACAAAATGGTAATGGAACAATTGGAACATTTTTTTAATGTATGTAAAATAACGGACCTAGACACAGACTGTATAGATCTTTCATAAAAATTAACTCAAAATAGGGTGCCTGGGTGGCTCAGTCAGTTGAGGGTCTGATTCTTGATTTCAGCTCAGGTCATGATCTCACAGTTGTGAAATTGAGTCCCATGTCAAGCTTCACGCTGAGCATGGAGCCTGCTGAAAATTCATATTCTCTCTCTCTCTCTCTCTCTCTCTCTCTCTCTCTCTCTCACCCTCTCCCTCCCTCTCCCCACCTCTGCCCCTCTTCCCTGCTCACACTCTCTCTCTCTCAAAAAAAAAAAAAAACAAAAAAACTCAAAATGGAGCATAAAACCTAAATGTGAAAGACAAAACTATAAAACTTTTAGGAGAAAACATAGAAGAAAATCTATATGACCTTTGGTGATGAGTTATTAAATGTAACATCAAAAGTACAATCCATGAAAGAAAAAACTGATTAAGTTGGGATTCATTAAAATTAGAAATTTCTGCTCTGCAAAAGACACTGGTAAGATAATTAAAAAACAAAGCACAGCCTGGGGAAATACTCACAAAACACATATCTGGTAAAAGAATTGTATCCAAAATATACTCTTAAAACTCAACATTAAGAAAACAACCCAATTAAGAAATGGGCAGAAGATCTGGACACCTCACCAAAGAAGTACAGATAGCAAACAAACAAAGATGCTCAACGTCATTTGTCACTGGGGCAATGCAAGAACACTATGCACCTTTTATTTTTTTTTTTTATTTTTTATTTTTTTTTAATTTTTTTTTTCAACGTTTATTTATTTTGGGACAAGAGACAAAATGAGCAGGGGGGAGGGGAGCAGAGGGGAGACACAGAAGTCGGAAACAGGCTCCAGGCTCTGAGCCATCAGCCCAGAGCCTGGCCAGGCTTTCGAACCTCTGGGACATGAGATCACATTATGACCCTGGCTGAAAGTCGGACAGCAACGACTACTTTTGCGCATCACCAAGCATGTAACACTATCACACCTTTTAGAAGAGCTAGAATAAAACAGTGACAATACGAGTTGTTGGCAAGTATCCGGAGCAGTACAAACTCTCATTCATTGCTGGTGGAAATGCAAAACGGTACAGTCCAGCAATTACACTCCTAGATAATTATCCAGCTTCTTTGAAATCTTCTATATACACATACACACAAATATCTTTATAGCAGCTTTATTAATCATTGTCAATAACTGAAAAGAACTAAGATATCCTTCAATAGGTGAATGGATAGACCAACTGGTGAATCCATACAATGGAAGAGTATTCACCAAAAAAATAAATAAATAAAGGAATCAGCCCTCAAGCCATATAAAGACATGGATGAATCTTAAATGCATATTACTAAGTGAAAGAAACCAGTCTGACATATGAATGATTACTTCCACCTCCCCGCTCCCAGCTTTTTAAAAACATTCTGGGAAATGGAAAAACGTTTTTCAAAAAGGTAAAACTAAGGATGATAAGCAGATTGATCAGTGGGTTGCCAGAGGTTTGAGACGGAGAGAGCATTGAGTAGGTGAAGCACAGAGGATTTTTTAGGGTGGTGAAACTATTCTGTGTGATGCTGTATGATACATAGTGTCATTTGGACACACGACACTATGCATTTGTGGAAACTCCTAGAACTTTCCATCACCAAGAGTAAACTTTAGTGTATTGCAAATTTGAAAAATTGATTGTGGAAATTAATGAAATCTAGAATGGAATACGTAACATAAAATCTAACCATATTATAAATGTATGAAACAACATCACTGAGGAGGGTGAGGTGAAAGGTGCTGAATTAAGTAACTTTGGAAATGAGGGGAGCCTGTAACACTGAAGACGAAAGGAACTGTATATAAGCTCTATACTCTAGTTAATATAGCTGCTTCCCAAGTGCATTGGGTAACAATTCTGAAGCTCTTTTACATGAATACTGGAATTGAACAATTAAGGAAATGGATGGCAGATGGTAGGACCCAGGTTTTTCACTGTTGGGAGTGGAAAGTTACAGATGAGCAAGGAGGAGACATCAGTATAAACTCACTTATTTTAATATAGATACAGATGGTTGCATATAGAAATATTTATAGATGTGTATATGTACATGTTAGTATACATGCACGCGCACACACACACACACACACGTATGCATGTATTCGCTTGCTCTCCCAGCTGAGAGAACCTAGAAACATTGATGCCCAGTAGCAACAAGTACACCCAGCACCCAGATCTTGTTTTCTCATACCATTCTCTAACAAAAGGAACCAGGGCTCCTTGGAGAAATGGCTGGTTTAATCCTGGGGCAATAACATCTCGATGAGCCTATAGCATCATGTAGTTCCAGAAAATAAGGAAGTGCTCAAACCAACCAACCAGCCAACCAACTAAAACAATGCTGGGTAGGTCAAAGGAACATAGGAGCCAACTGAAAGAGCTTTCAATGACCAAAGCTGGAATAATTTGAGCAAGAAAATAAATAACATAGTATTGGGTTATAATCCCAAGTGTTAAGTAGGTATCCATGAGTCCTTTCTGATATAAATAAGTGATTGCATAAATAAATGGGGAAGAATAGGCAAATTTCCTGTGGAGAATAATTCCAATAGCTCACTTCCTTCTATAGTGACTTCTTTCCAGAGTCTGAGGTGATACTATTATTTATGTAAAAGTTTCCTATTAATGGCCATTTCTTTTCTGTTCTTTTACTTTATGAACAGTACTTTGGTGAATCCTTTTACATTAGTTCCTCTAAATTTCTGTGTTTTCATAAAACAAAAATTCTAGGGAGAATAGAAGTTTAACATCTTTCAAGTTATATTTAAGTTGCTCTTCAAAATGGTCCTATAAATTTATACTGCCCAAAACAGTGTAAAATAGTACCAGTTTCTTTACATTCTTGGTACAATACATGACCCACAAGGGGTTAATGTATTTTCCTTAATACACAAAGAACTTTACTAAATCAGTAGTAAGAGGACAGCTGTCCCAATAGAAAGATGGGTAAGGATCCGAGCAGGTAATTCACAGGGCAGATAGTACAAATGGCCCATAAATATTTGTAACAAAAAACTGAAAAAAAAAAAGTACAAAAGATATGTTAATTGAATAGTAATGGAAGAAATGCAAAATAGAAACAATGAGATATTATTTTGCGTGTTCGGTTAGTAAAAAAAAAAAAAAATTGCAATAACCTCTTTGTGCAGGGGGCTGTGGATCAGCTCAAACTTGTTGATGGATAAACAAATAGACCTTTTGGAGGCCAAGTTTTTATATGTGCTTTTGAAAAAAGGTACACATACTTTTATTCACTCCACCTTACTAGAATTTACCCTAAGACCATAATTAAAAATGTATAAAGATTTATGTGTAAATATGCTTACCACAGCATTGTTCAGTACAACAAAATAATTAGAAGTAGCCTACCCAACAATAGGAGGTGACTTAATGATGATATTTCCCTAAGGTGGAATATTATTCAGGTGGAATAATATATACCAATTTAACTGAAAAAGACAGACGTATGGAAAAGAGAGAAGAAGGACACAAACCACGATGTCCGTCATCATGGTCTGTGTATGAGAATGAGGTTGCGAATGATTTCTGCCTTTTGTGCCTATCTCTGTGTCCTTTGTTTTCTGCCTTAAACTTCTCTTCAATTTTGTAGGTAGAGAAGAGAATAAAAAATGTTTGAAACTTTCTTGATTCTACTTTTGTAATGTCTTTCCTACCTGCCCCTTCTCTCCCGTCTCCTTCAACATGGGCCTAGCGCAAGCCTCCTGCCTGTCACTTAGACCATTGCATCAGGTTCCTGATGGGTGTCCCCGCCCCTACAGAAGACTCTTCCTTCTTGGCTTGGAAACCTATGGAAGTCTCCCCATGTAGAATAGCACCTAAGGTCCTTCTTGTCATCTTGTTGCTCCAGACCCCCACATTCTGGCCTTCGATGCCCTTTCCAGCGTTAATTTCCCTCATCTACCTTGACCCCACAGAGCACCCACAACACCAGACCAGTCGGTCCGCTCAGCTCTCCCTGGTCATGGTGTATACAGCCATACCTTAATCCCGTCTCTACCTGTTTGAAGTCTACCCATCTTTCAAGCCCTGCCTCTTCCAGCAAGCCTTCCCCTATCATTACCTCCCCCATGTTCTAGTCCACTTAGGTTGAACTTCTTCCGTGTCCATGATCGCCAGGTGATTTGGGGAGGGTCCTGCCTCTTCCTTTGGTCCCTTCCATACCAGGCAAGGGCTGATAGGGTCTGGACTCACAGTGTCAAGTCTGCACACAGTACAGGCTTCATGAAAATCTGTTGAATTGAATTGACTCAGAGTTGCTTCTGCTTACCGCGTGCTGCAGATCAGAGTCAACTCTGCCATGTTCCATAATTATGCCTTAAATACGTGTGATTTTGGGGCATGCAGGAATCTATTAAATTATACATATAAACTATCACACTTGAGGTTATGTGGCATAAAAATGTGCGTGTATTAAAATATAAGGTTTATGGGCATGTCACTTGGTGTTCAGAAAGTCTTTCTTCCATAACTGGCTAGTAAAACTTTGGAGTCTGAACTTAATTTTAGGCAATTCCTTGGAAAAAATGATTCTATGGAAAACCGGGCATGTCCTGGAGGCAACCACAGATAATTACACAGAAAAAAACTTTTCTATAATATTCCTGCTTAACATAAAAAGCAAATTTTTTATTCTTGGTTACTCTTCTCTTGTTTTCACATTGAAAAGTGACTATTTCAGGGAAGAGAGTAAATTTGGTTGCAGCAGTAAATGTGCCTTGTTAAGTCTGGAATATCCCCGTTTTTCTTTGTAAAATTTAGAGGTTTTACATGCCTTGCATTCCTTTCAACTCCACATAACCAACCCGGTACCCTGCTCAGCCCTCTCTCTCTCTCTTTCTCTTGGTCATGCTGTCAATCCACCCTTGGGTGTCTATGTGTCACACAGCACTGTTGTTACAGTAGTGGGACACTTCCTAGAGGTTCTTGGCACGAAGCCCCTTTTGTGTTGCCCTGAGGTGTCACGTGAGTCAACGATACCCTGGTAGAGAATTTGCTTGTTCCCAGAAAGATTCAAGGGGCTTGGGGATATTGATTTCTGTGAGAGGTCAGGCATGAACAGTGTTCTGAGCCCAAAGTGCCACTGTGTCCTTCTGGCATGTGTAGTCTTCAGAAAAACCTGTCTCTTCACCTGCATTGCTCTATGGAACTTTGAAAGATGCTTTTGTATCATTTAGCTTACTGGGCGAACCCTCTCCTAGAAAATTAAATTTCTTACAGTTGTGCAAATACTGGTGAATCCTTCTCGTCTTGGGTCTGCCTGGGGATATAGATCTCATGGGTGGTACTGCCCATGTACATATCCCTTAGTCTGGCCACTGGTCCTTCCATCCATCCAACCATCCATCCGTGGTCTTCCCACAACTGGGGTCCTTCTGAGCAGAAATCTGTCTGGTGCATCTCAGAATTCCCTGCAGCGGCTTCAGAGAGATTACTATGTCATGGAGGCCCAGTAACTCCCCTGGACGATGAGGAAAGTACTTGTCTCTCTTAGCACCACTCTGCATGTTGGAGAGGAGGTGCTGAAGGAGGGAGCCATTTGTAGGCTAGATGTTGTACGTAAAGGGACCCTCAACCACATGCACCCCCAGGCTGGAAGGCTGTGCTCTTCCAGTTTCCCGACCTCTGGGAAATCCCCGTTTGTGGTGGGCGAGGGCAACGTGGGTGGTCCGGCATTTAACCGCTGTATTTGACTTTACAGGTCAGTTTTTGGGTTGTACGAGAAATTCTAACAGCACAGACTTTAAAAATAAGGGCAGAAATCCTGAGCCATTTTGTGAAAATAGCCAAGGTAAGATGTTTTATTTTTTTTCCTCCCTCCCTCCC